AACCATAACGCCAAGGCCAGTTAAAGACTTGGGAAAGGTGGTAAAAGACTTTTTTCTTCTTAATAGGCATTTTTGTCTGCTCTGGTTTGCCGCTATTCACTTTCCATCATTGCAGCTGTAAATAAGGTCAGAACTACTACGCTAGCGTCCCTTCCCACCGCCAGTCTGCACTCCAAGCTCTTGTGATGCTCACCATCGCAGCTTTCACAGCCCTGCCGTCAGGGCTCGGGGGTGGCTATAGGTAAATCACAGCTTTGAGAAGTTAACAGCTTGCTCTTAGACTCAACTTAATTAGAAGGGCTTCTTTTCAGAGAGGCCGTGGTAAAAGCTTCCTCGGTGCAGCCCAAGGAAGCTATAAAAGAAAAAAAAAAAGTAGTCAAATCATAACTGCCTTAGTTAAAAAATATTTCCGAGTTAGAACAAGTTTTAGCCAGACATTGGCATCAGCAGATTTTTTTGAAACCTCTCTGCGTTTGTTTTTTTGTTTGTTTGGGAGGGTTTTTGTCTAGCTTGACAGATCTCAGCAGCTCTGTTTGGAGGTTGTTGGGCATTGCTTATCAAACTTTTTAGAAATGTATTTGTATTCATCTACCTTCAAACATTTTCTCTTCCCTACCTTTGTGTGGCAGCAGTTCAGTTTTTCCACTTGTTTAAAAAAAAGTCTTTACTCTCCGCCTCTGTCCCAGAGCAGTAAGCAGCACGGATGCCTGTTTTCTGATGTTTTTGAAGCCCGTGAGATCCCCAGCTCAAAATCCGCGAAGCGTGGGCTAAGCTTTTAACGTGAAATAGCCTTGAGGAAAAGAAACCCGCAGAATGACAAGATTCCAGATAATACTGAGATACCGTTTCTGAATATTCCTGTTGTGTCCCTAGCATGGCAGCAAGATAAACATACCGTAATACTTTACAAAATTATTAGTTTAAAAAAAAGCCCGCAGAAGCATGAATCCAGGTCAACAACTGGCTAAGCCCTTAAAGAGACATACGTTCCTGGCCAGTAACGGGCTCTACAGAAACCGCGCTGCTTACACCAGGCATAAGCATTCCTCCAGCCTATCCGAATAGCGACAATCAAGGATTACTACTTAATCACCTAGAGCAACTCTTTCCACTGCAACCAAAATACCCTTTCCACAAGAAAAGGGGAGAGCGACAGACGTGTACCCTGACGCTCTTACAGCAGCTGGGAGGCTAGGCTGAGTGTCAAACCCTCTCCCGCATCAACACCCAACCCGCCCGCCCTGCCAAAAGAAAACACTTGCAAATGTTAGTACTTCACTGTAAAAAAAAAAAAAAAGTTTCAAAATATTACTTCCCGCCAAAAGGAAAACCAAATGAAACGTACAGAAGGGCTTTTACTATTAAAGAACACTGCTAAAAAAGAAGGTAAACCACCAAGAAAGCTAAGCTGACATTAAGAAGGGTTTTTCAGGATGGGTATTTCTGCCAGCTAGGCTGCCGCCAGTGCTGAAGAGAAATAAATACTGTTTAGCCATCCATTTCAAATTGAAAACATAAGGGGAAAAAAAAAACCCTTGCTATGAAAGCCTACGTGCAAAACTGGGTATGCTTTCTGCTAATAATGGGAAGTAGATGCCAAGGAAATTTAAAACAACAGGGCCTGTTTTTTCTAGGCATAGACAACAATAAGCCATTATTTATTGGACCTGCATTGGTGATCAGAAGAAATAACTTCATACAAGTCACCAATAACCACATCGCTTACAACAGTGCTTTTATGCCGCGATTGCTTGGTAACTTTGTCGCAGGAGAAAACGCAAAGAAACTACCCGGATCCGTTTTCATCTTTAAATCATAATATATGGGAGTATATGGAAAACGAGTGCGATGTACTTCTTAAAGTAAGGCGAGTAATCCAGATCAGCGTCTTTGGCAAATCACTGCTCGGATCAAGCTCTGTCGAGGAGAAGCTGGGTCAGGAAAGGCAGCATCAGCTCAGAAACTTTGCTGAGTCTGAACAATGAGATGTCTCCCATCTGTTTCCAAGAACTATTTCTAAATCCTTAAGGGCTGTAGCTCATTTTTCCATGGGAGTGATGAAAAACCTCTCTCAGAATCACAATATGTTGTCTTGCTTTGTCTCTCTTTCATGCCGACCTAGATTTTTCTAAACACAACAGAGGTCAACTGGGCCAGCCTTTGGAAACACCCGCGCGCTGGTTCATTAAGGACGTTTAATTTGTCCTGGGGCTGGGCAGCTGGTTTCCTGAATGGCAACGGAGCCCAGTTAAAGCTGGGGGAACGGCCTCGCCGACCGTTGCCCTAGAGTCCGCGGTTAAGTTTGACCACTATAGGCAAGGTCTTTGAAGTCCTGCAGTCTGCTGCTTGTGGGCATTCTGGCACCGTCTCCGGGGTGGGGGGCAGAAATTGCAGACCTTCCACGGAAATACAGTAGATTTTGGAGGAACACGTTGTGGAAAGCAACTGTTAGCTCACTGATTTTAAGGTTTTCCAGGCAAACGACCTTTGCAAAGAAAAAGGTAACTGATGCAACAGTGTTTCCATGAATGAGAGAATCCGAATTATATGTTCCTTCTGTATTTATACCTCGTGTTTGAGTAGAGAGAGGGGAGCATCAATTCAATTTTTTAATTACAGTACTGTTGCATATGAGCCCTCGTTAATGAGGCCGTCAGTCTCACTTCACTATTTACAAGGCTGCGCGGTTTAAAAAATCCTTTGCTTTTTTCGCTTGTTAATTACAAGCTTGTACATTTTTATTCCCCTGCCACCCAGCAGGTGATCTCCACATACAAAACAAAGAGAGATTTCCAGAGGTTTTTTTGAATGACTCCACTCATTTGAGGACTTAATGAAAACTTTTGGCATACGGCCAACAGGCTCTACGTTCCGTCTGTCTTGCCAGCGACGTGTTTATCCGGGCCGGTGCCTGTACGCACGGCCTGCATGAACAGCTCAAGAAACCATCAAGGTTTGTTGAAAGCAAAAGAAACAAAAAAAAAACCCTCAACGCTTCCTTTAGTATTGCTCCTCGGAGGAGAAGCAATAACATGGCACAGTCCACGTACTGTGCTAGACCTCACAAGGCCCCTGCAACCCCAAACATAACTACAGCACGTGCATGGCTGGGAAGGAGGAGGGGAGA